TGTGCTCTGTTTTGTTTGTGTGTGTGTGTGTGTGTGTGTGTGTGTGTGTGTGTGTGTGTGTGTGTGTGTGTGTGTGTGTGTGTGTGTGTGTGTCTTATTTCACTTGCTGGGTTTGAGGCAAGGAGCTAAGATACACCCCACTGGGATGAGAGACTGCACAACCGCACGACCAATAGTAAAAAACACACACACAGCACAAAACTCTAAGTAAAGTAAGTCTATTTAATTTTGTCCACTAAAACATAAAATATAACTCCAGAAAGCAAGAAGGTGGCTGATTTTTGTTGTTGTTGTTGTTGATGTGTTTAGAATGATCATCAGGAGTTTTGTGTGATCCTTCTGATCCACTTTTTGCATGTTCCTGATCACACTGAAGTCATATCTTCTTCACATTGCACTCAGACGATATTCAGTCGGAGAAGGAAACTGCAGTGTGACTCGGTGAACTGATTTGAGTGTGGCGGCGGCTCCCCTGGGGATCGCGACGCCAACTGTACCGCTGCTTGGCCAACAGAGGGCGGGAGTGAGCAAAGCAGCCCACTGACACGAAATTCAATCGGGCTCCTTCATCATTGAACAAATCTTAACTGTCTGTAGGAGAAAAGTGTCAAAGACGGTAAAACAAGAAACTCCCTTATTTTAATGACCAGTAAATCCGCGACAGAGATGCTGAGAGTCAAACTAAAAATGGCAGGTAGATGGATACAATGTGCACACAGACCTGGACTGAGATGATGATGGAGAATACAATCGGTGTTGCATTTTGCAGTAAAGTGGTGCCTTGACTTAACAGTTTGAATAATTCTGTGACCAAGAATTTTACCCATTGATAAGAATGTTAAGTTTCTGTTACACGTAAAAAAAAAAAAAAAATAGGACTGCATTGTAAAAGTTACACATAATAGAAGACAATGGAAAGATATAACGCTGAAAGTCTCTCTCTGTCTCACACACACATACACATACACACAGATTGCGGTACAGTACTTGCATAGCCTAGTGAGTGAGCTCTGTGTATGACAAAATCAGAATACAAACGGCAGGTACGCAAGATGTCATGCAGGTTTTTGATAAATCTCACCATAGACTGGTGCCGTTCTCTTCCAAATCATGGGATCTTCTCAGCTACGATATCAGATCCAGATGTAAATTCCTGCAAATAAAAGCTGGAATGGTGATAATGGCGAAATGGTGTCTCATATTCATCGTTTGAAGTCAAACACAAATGTTTTTAATCTACAGCAAAAAAAGGAATTGGACAAACTCTTCCAATTCCTTTGGAGGGGAACTTCACCCTGTAAGGCGGTCCACACACACACACATAAACAAGCACTTCTTTGTAAATTCAGCACATCTAGATTTAAAAAAATAAATA